AGCCTAGTTCAGTACAGCAAGAATAATAACATGTTAACAGGGTTGCCATAGGTCAGGGAAAAAATAAATTCTTCAATTCGGAAAAGTCAGGGAATTTTATATTGAGTCAGGGATAGTAGACATTTTGAAGAGAAGTCAGGGAAAATTAAAATAATTTAACGCGGCTGATTTAATACCGTTGAAGGCTGAAAGAAACATTTGGGGTCACTGTGATCTCAACGAAATTTTTCCTTCATGGAAAATTTGTTGAAAACTTATCCGTCTTAATGAACAAGTGGAAAGGACGGCTATAAGTTCACACTAGAAGCCGCTACTCGATCTGACATTTTGTATTTTTGGGGGGTCAGGGAAATGCTAATTTTATCAGGGAAAAGTCAGGGAGTTTTATACAGTGATGTCTGTGGCAACCATAGTTAACTGAATGTACCCCCAGTTATTTGTGACCAATCCAGTTCGAGCTCTATCGTCGCAGAGTTTGAATGGCTGCTACATAGCCCAACCTTGTGAAAATCCCCATATGAGATAAATATACCTTAATCTTAACTAACTCCACGCTTGAGGCCTTTTAAAATTCTATTCATTTAATGTTTTTTTTTAGAAAATACAGCTAGTTTCCGTCTCGACATACCGTTTTTTCTGGAGAGTATTTTTTGGTGCTTTTTCAAATGAGATATAGTATTGTTGAGATATTAAATAAAAAAGAATACGATGTGGTATGTTTTGCGATGTTTTCGCCGGACTACTAAGAGTTCATTATCCCTCTTCTCCCCCATAAGAATCTTGAAGTTCTATTGAACAATGTGCTGTTACGAAGTCTTACGAAGTCAAAATGATAACAGTTTTTAGTATGACATTACTACTGACGCACCAACCGCAAAATGTTTTTGGCTCAATTTATTTTTAGCATTATGGCAAACTACGCAAACACAGCAATTAATATCTTCCTTTTCTTATTCATATCAGAGACAAAAAAGTGACGATTTGTCAAAATAATAGCAGTGCGGTTAATCA